CGTCCCCTAAAGTATTTGGATATTGCTTACAATAATTATATTTATTAAATTACATTTTTTTATAAATGAATAACTAAAAAGTGCTGATACCATTTTTGAACAATCTTAAATTGCTACAGAATAAACTACAAATAATTGATGAAACTGTTACAAGTTCAAAGAAAAAAGATATAAAAGCGAAAACTAAGCTACGTATTTTAAGCATTTTCATGAATTTAACTTTTATTTCACCCTTGATCAACTACTTTCGTTTAAATATTCTTCAACAATTTAGAAAATTATATTTTTGTAATGTAAAAAGTGGAAGTTTAAGATGGTTCTTATATTCACACAAACAAATTTATGGGGGTATGACGTCGTTAGTAACATACACTAACAACATGGGTGGTCGTTGTGATGAAAAATTCAACTAAACGGATGCCCTTTAAATTTTAAAACTAGAAAAGTCGGTCAGTATAGTTTAACCAGAAAAGGAAAGAATTTAATAAGAGAAACTTAGTGAAGAGTTTATCAAAAACGAGACCATTAGAATCAAATCTAGAACCAAACAAAAAATGTTCATATTTATTAATACTAGTTTTAGAATACGCGTTTTGGGCGTGTACCTATATCAATCAATATATAATTTTTAAAAATTATATAAATATTATTATATAAAGTGTTTGAGTTCTTGAACAAATATTTTAAAAAATATAAGTTTCAAAAAAAAATTAATATTTATTTTTTGTTGATATTATGATGAAACCCAACCACATCCCCGTGTAAAAGTTTCCTTCATTGTCTTTTATGCTATATCATGATATAATTTATTAATTAATATACGAAAGTAGAACTCGTAAGTACATAGTAATTAAAAAATATGAATAAGGTTAAGATTCTTTTTAAAAGGGTGCTAACATAAAGTTTTAAAGGATTGTATTTTGTTTACCAATTTAGTCGTTTGTATGAATACAAAATATATTTAAAATAAAAGTAAGTTACATCTTAAATTAATTTTAATAATAAATAATTGTACTAAAATAAATGCCTTGACAAAAAATGAAAAGAAAAAAAATCACAAACAACAGAGAGACGTCATAAAAGAATACAAAAGCAAAATTTCATAAAAGCTTAAGGAAAAATAAGNAGAAAAAAAATTCACAAACAACAGAGAGACGGCATAAAAGAATACAAAAGCAAAATTTCATAAAAGCTTAAGGAAAAATAAGTAAAATCTCATTTGATTTTAAATTATAAAATATTAGGAGTTTATCATAATTCACATAAGATAAAATTTAATAGCTAAATTTTAATTAATTTCAAAATTCTAAATGTTAGAAGTATAATTAAATAAAAAAAAATTCAATATGAAATCTATATTTAAAGGAAAAAAGATTGATTACGTGCCGCTTGGAGAGATAATAAAATTTTGACATAATGCATCATAAAAATATTTATTTAACTTATGCAAAAACATCAAAGCTTATGTGAAGTGCAAGTGTACGTTCGTGTTTTTTTATGGTTGCATTATATGTTACAGCGTAATACACATGTATTGCATGTCAATCGTTATAAAATTAAAATTTTTAAAAATATATATTAAAATTATATATAAAGTCTCAATTTATATTCAAGCTTTTGTCGTCCCTGATAGCTTATTTTTATTACTTTCTGTGGATCCTTGGAAGAAAATATATAGAGGATATCTTACCTCAACTCTACTCACTTATATATCCATTAGAATGTAAAATTTCTAAATATAAGAGGATTATTAGACGATGTCATCCCAAAAGTATAAAATTATGTTTCTTACCAATATAAGCTTAAATTGCTGCAAAAAGTCTTTTTGTACAAAGGTATACATGTATATATAACCAAATACAATAAATTTATAATAAAAGCAAATACAATAAAATTAAAATAAGACCAAATACCATAAATTAAAATAAGCCAATCACGTCTTATATAAGAGTGGAAAACAAAACAGTTACCATAATTGATAACTTAGATGGACTCAATTGTTCATTTAATCAACAACATAAAAAAGTTGGAACTATAAAAGCTGATATTTGACATGTAAATCTAGAAATTTTTTTATAACTGAAATACTCACAAATATAATAAGAATAAAATTCAGATTCAAAGTGCATTAGAAACAAAGGAAGAAACTTACAAAGCAAGTTAAAGAAAAAAAAAATAAGAACTTGACCACTATTGTAGTCACCTACAACCAAATTTTTGTTTTACGGTACGCAATAAGAATATAGACATTACAGTATAGACGATGCATGATACAAAATGCAATGATCTAAAAAGTTATAAGAAAAATATTATAAATAAGTAATTGTAAACTAATAATTATACATGAGATATTATAGTCAAAATCAAAAGTGACAAGCACAAATGAATTTACCTTCGCAGAAGTTGGCACTGTCACAAGTTTATGACTAAGAACGTGGACTATTGGCTTCTTTTATAGAGGTGTTCCTCCTTATTCTAAATGGTTTTGATTTTAAAATTCGAGAAAATAAAATTGACTTTGTTTGGTAAAAGAATTATAAACCTAATATGACATTAATTACTTTCTCCTTATTCGATATTAGTAAAATAATACTAAACCTAAAGTAATAATAGTTGCTGCTCCTTATCGGTTTTGGTTCTAAAATTCTAGAAAATCAAAAATTGACTTTGTATCTTACGGAAATTATGGTAAAATAATACTAAATCTAATGACATTGATTGCTTCTTCTTATAATTGTATCATACGTCAATTATAACTAAAAAAAATACTAAACATAAACTAATATTAATTACTGAGTGAATTTGGTAAAAGAATCATAAACCTAACATGACATTAATACTATTAAACCGACCCTTTGATAAAATATAATACTAAAACCTAAGGTAACATTAATTGCTGGACAATTTAATTTTGGTTTTTCTAATTTGTGTCTATATTTATAATTTTATCCAATATAAAATACATTTACGAATGGCAAAAAAGACGAACGATATTTCGCTAAGGGCATTCGTGCTTTTAATATAACTAGTCTTTATGTTCGTGCGTTGCACGAGAAATGCGTATTGAAAATAATAAACTTTCAATCGCTTATACTGTTGAATATGCACAAAGTAGGAAGTTTAATAATCAATTCTTTAAAATAAAAATAATATAATATATAATTCAAATTAAGTTATCAATAACATTTTTGACATAATATAGGAGAAAAAAATGGAACTAATTAAATATTTTAGAATCACAATGTTATATGATTAAAATTGTAAACTCACTTTAAAATACGATATTATTCACTATTGTTTGTGAGCGATGCTGAATATGTATGAAATTCAACAACTCTTGTTATCAAAATCAACTCATTAATAAAGTTTTGACACAATCTAAAGATAAAATGAAACTGAACATTTTAAGAATTATGTTAAAAGATTTAAAATCACTTTGATAATGCAACAAACACTTATGGGAAGGTATATTCAAAATTTGTGATCACGCCACAAATTAATTTTGATAACCTGAGGCGTAAATATTGCTATTTGTGGTGAATTTTATACTTGGTTTTGTGGAGAAAAATTAAAATATATCTAATATTTGACTTGTTTTAGTTCCAACCCATAATTAATTTCCCGAACTATAGATAATATTTTCTTCACACTTGATTGTCTAATATTTATAGCAAGAACTATAGATAATGAATATAGAATTTGATTTCCATTAAAATAATGAATGGACGAATACGTTTTCTTTACGAAGTGGACTTTAAGAATGATATTTTGACTTGGAATCTACAATATTTGAATTGATTTTTTTATTTTTAGGCATTAATGTTTAAGATATAATTTAATTATGGAAGGGTATAATAGGTAGCTAATATTTTAAGAATATTTTTGTCATTCAACATTTAGCGTAGAACATTTGTGCTTTTATAATAATATAGATAGATATAGATAAGTAATTCCCTATACTTTTTTCCAAAGTTATGTCTACGCGACAAGAAGAAAATTTGTCATTTTATCTTTTCTAATTACTTCACGGGAAGAGATGTAGAAGATAACAAAGACAAATGTTTAGGTAGCTTTTATTTATAAAATGGAACCTTTTTAACACTATAACCATGAAATACTTGTTTTATACTGTCTCCGTTTAAATTAGATAATGTAATTTGACTTGGTATAAAATTTAAGAAAAAAAAAAGATTTTTGAAATATGTGTGACTATAAAAGATTTGTGTGACTATAAAAGATTCTCATTAAGGGTAAAATGGGTAAAATAAAAAATTTTAAGTTAAATTATTTTCAAATATAAAAATATGTCATTCTTTCTAGAACGGACTAAAAAAGAATGTGTATCATTTAAATTAAAACAAAGAGAGTATCAAATTAGTGAATACATGATTTGTATCATTTACAAACATTTTTATCATTTAATTATTATAAACTCATATGCTTTTTAACTCAATCTATCACTTGATTATAGTAAATTAATGCGGCCTCCCGTAAATCGTAATCACCGTACGTCATTAAAAGAAACGGTCTATAAAGCAATGGCTTTGCCAGCAAAAGAAAGTGTTTGCAATAAATTTTCAAGATATGAAAAATAAACTGCAATCATAAAATAAGAAGAAAAAAAATTTACTAATTAATTGTGAGTACAATTTTATTTTTTAATTATTCTCTCTTGATTATCTCAATGATTCGAGGGTTGTAACAACATATTTCTCGAATGTAGGATGGGCAGACCTCCTGGAATGTATTTAATTTTTAGCTTCTTGAACTATTTGATTGTCAAAAGTATTCAGTCATATTTTGATCTCTTTGTGAATATCCCAAGAGTTTATGGGAATTTTGAGACGGCTCTTCAAACGAATATGTATCCCTTTTATATAGGTGCGAGTTAAGTTTAGGGTAAAGTAACCTCCAAGCAATCCTAATAGACTCCTAGGATTTCAAGAGTCCTATAGTATCTTTAATTTAAAATTTAGCTTAATCCGTTAAAATTTTGACGTATGGAGGAAGCTCTTGAATTCATTTCAAAGCTAAGATATTTCAATGTAGATCACATCTTGTTGTTTCTCCACGTGAATTTTTTAACTGACATGATTTGCGGGTTTGCAGGTAACTTGTGTGTTTTTCTTGTTGTCTTCATTTCCACTATCTGTTAATGGCAACGCCCGCTGATCAGGAGCATCTTTTGTTTTTCCTATATCCATTTCTTTGTTTTTAAAATAATTATTCATTATCTATCAACGATTATGAATCAATTTTTTTGAAAAGAAAACAGAGGGAAGAACCATTTTCTTTTTTGTCGATCATTTGCCACCTTTTGTAATACCTCATTAAAAATAAGGGTAGTTAAGTAAATTGCAAAAAAAAAAAAAAAGAGTATGTAAATGGGCCTTGACCCATCAGCAAAGTCATAGGGCATTAGGAGAAGGAAAAAACAAAAGTTAAAAAGGATTTGGGGGGAAGGGAACGCGGCCCAACTACTTCTGTTCCCGGCCCAGCAATGGGACTCGGAACCCCTCGTCTTCGGGAACACGCCAACGGCAAAGCTCTCTTTTTAACTCCAGTTTCTGCTTAAAGCTCAATTTTTCCAGGTATTTTTGTGCTTTCTTCAATTTTTTTCTTGCAACGGCCAAGCAATGTTTTTGAATTAGAAAAATAAAAATGCAGTAGACAAGTAGAATTGTGTTAGCAGTGATCGTGCTTACTTGCAACTAACAAGCTTCTCTTCTTTTTTTTTTGTTGAACAAGCATCAAATACAGGAAATAAGAATTAAGAAAAAGGAAACAAAGACATATAGAAATTGGAAGTTCGTTGCGATTTTCTTGTGCTTTTAGTTTCATTTTCTTATTGTAAACTGTAAGTAATTTGCTTTTCTTTTGTAAGGTGGAATAGTAGAGGAAGCTATGGACATACCGGTCCAGCACAAGAAGCTTGCACTTGATATTAAGGCATGTCTCGACATTTTACCCTTTTTACATTGGAATATTTATACTATCCCTTGCAATTTCTGTAATTATCTATGATGCCTTTCTTAGAATGGACTTTTTTTAAAAAAAAATTCCTGTGTGATTAAGCTATTCAAAATGAATGTCAAGTCAAAACTTCGAAGAAAGGATCATATTATGGACAACACCAACTAGTTCTGAATGATGACTGAGTTGATTGGTTGATATATGCCTCCACATTTGAAAAAAAATGGTAAAATACAACCAGAGGAAAAAGGAAAAGAGAAAAGCACAAATAGAAATCCTTCCTTTGAACATGAGAATGAGATATAGGTAAGGGAAGGCATAAAGGAGAAAGAAGAAAGGAAAATTTTGTGACTTTGTCAGTTTGCCGCTCGTCATGTTGGAAATGGAAAACTAAAAAGTTTGGTGGACAATATTTTCAGTGGTATGAGGTTTATGTACATACGCTATACTTGACAGTATGTGTTACATGTGAAGCTGAAGAATGCCCTAACTGTTGTTTATTGGTGTGTACAAGATAACAGTAATTGTGCCTCTATGCCAAGCAAGTTGGGTTCAGCTATTTTTATCGGCTTATGTGTTTGCTAATTTGGAAAATCTTGTCATTTAAACTATAATCCTTTCTACTTTTGTTCGTATGTATCAAAGATGTGTCTGCGGATCTCTGTGTGTGTGTGTGTTATTTTACTAAAAATAGTATGAAGCTTGCTTTTGATTGATTCTGTTATTTCTGGTTCCAAAATTTGTCACAGAAAGAGCTGAGGAGGATTATATTCTGTGTATTCATGAGTTGAGCATAATGTTTTTTGTTCTAAAATGACCATAGTTGGATTGTATGGAGATATATCTGGAAATCTATACTTGGAGGCAAAATAAGAAACACATTAGGTTTAGGGAGATGAAGAAACATCCTTCAAGTTTGCTTTTGCTGGAGAAAAAAAAATTAATTCAGTTGAAATGCAGCTGTAGTGGAAAAATGTTTCTAGTTTTTCTATTCTCTTGAGCTAAATTATCTTACAAACCTCTCATGTATGCAGGGAAATAAAACAGATATAGTCATCTGTGCCTATGATGACCATTTTCTGGTGAGTGGGGAACACCTGATTTAGTTTTGAAGTTGTAGTCACGTGAGAGCATTTCCGAACCTTTATTGTTGTTTTCAGGTTATAGCTACTCAAATAGGAAGTATGGGTACAATTCTGCATGCCAGGTCTGCATCTTTTTCGGAACTGTTCTTGCTTAGAAATTGCCGTTTTTCAGATTTCTTTTGATAAACGCATATTTGGTTTGGGCAGAAAATCAATTTTTAATTGAAGCCTGTCGATACTCTTTTTGTGATCTGTGCTATTTAAAATCATTGTATCTTTTTGTTCCTATTAAGTCATATTTGCTTTGGAGTTTCACTTGTTCTTCCTATTGCTGTAATGAGAATGACTCTTCAGATCTTGTAGCTGCATATTTGAGTTGTTTTCATTATTGATCTCGTCACTCAGTTGAAAAGAGTTTTTCCATACAACAGATGTAAGGTTTGTAGTTTTGCTGTGCAGGAAGGAGGAAGGGGTGTTGATCCATCCAACCTTTAGTGTTTCTGTATTACTGGGTAAACGCGATGAGGTAATTTAGAATATATTGCAACAATTTCATGTCCTCTCATGTATGGTTATCAACTTTATAAACTGCATTTTGATTGCAGCCCATGCTAGTTGCATGCGCTCGGCAGATTATTGAACACATAAGGTATGTGTGGAAAATAAAGTTTATGATTTCCATTATTTGTGAAGAAGGATGCCTGAATGAGAGATTGATTTCTCTTAACTGTTCTAAACCTTGCTTAATTTGCAGTAGCACAGGTTCTTCTAGGTCTTTGGTCTTGTCTCTTGGTCTACGAGACCACTCTCTGGTTGGTAACGTGAAGATATATTACTCTCTTTTGCACATAAAAGTGTTTCTTCCCTTTGATTCATGGTCCTCTTTTTCTATGCAGCCCACATTGAAAGGCATTGTTTCGGCTGTGACTGAGAACTGCCTTTGGTGACCTTGACTCTGTCAATTTTGGATTCCTCATATTTTACGGACCTGTTGTAGCCACAAGAGAGAAACTTAATTATTATCTCAGGCTGTGAAGTGCTTATGCTTATTCATCATTGATGTATTATTGTTCTACTACAGCAAGACTCTAAAAGTTGAGAGAAATTATTGACTTGCATTGGTTGATAGAAAATTTGTAACAAGTGTGTTTATATAGGCATCCTCATTGAAAGAGAAATAGCTTTTCATTTCTTGTTCACCTGAGAACCTATGTAATCATCGTAATATTTTGGCACCCAAGGAACTTGCCCTCTTTCCCTTGTGTCCACTTAGTGTCTTCGATTTTGCTGAAAGGACTTCGTTGAAAAATTGAAATCTATTGTTTACATTACATTTCGATGTAAGAATCTGCTCTTTTTTTCTAAAATTCTAATGACTATTATCTTGTTATGGTGCAAAATCCTCGTCCTTTTGGGAACTTGTTGAACTCTGTAACAAATTTATATATATGTCATAGAAAGGTTGGAACTTTTCAATCCATTCGTCACCGTAGCTTTTGGTGAATTATATCCAGTTGTGATGTTAGTCAAATAAAGGCTGAAGCTTAAGTATATAACAAGTTGTAGTATAGTGGTAAGTATTCCCGCCTGTCACCCGGGTGACCCGGGTTCGATCCCCGGCAACGGCGTTTCTTTTAGGAAAAAACATCTTTATTGTATTTTCTTCCGATAGATAAGTAGGAAAGAATGTCTTTTTCTTGTTAAAATTTAAAAGAAAATCCATTTTTCATTCTCTGCTACTGCCACCAGGCAAACACGTGAGCGCAAACTAGTGTATTAATCTAGATTTTAAGCTCAGAAAAATTACTATATTCTTCAATTTTGTCGTATTACGTATGATATAAAAAAAAAATCAGTTAATATGCTTAAAATCGTAATAACCCCTGCCTCATTTTAACTCCCGAGAAGTGAAAACTGGAATATTATGGGATCAGGTAGTAGGAGATAAGTCCTCTGTAGTACAGTGCAACTTCTTCTTTTTTAAATTAAGTTAAAAAATATATCTTCGTGTATTTCAGTAGCTTTTTAGAAAACCAGGGCCCTTTACTTTTCTGCATGGGAGTACCCCAATATTCAGCTATGTTTAAGAAAAAAGAGGATAGATCTGACATAACCAACAACCCAAAACATCAAAGCAAAGAATCTCAAATGCAATAGAATAGACTCTTCCATACAGGTTTATTGGTCATACTTTGAAAGGAGGACCTAGGTTTTGCGGGGTGATCAACACAAGTAGCTACTTTTGCTCCCTGATTTTCAATTAATATTGAAAGACAACTACTTAAATACTATACCAAAATGGTATATTACAATAGATCATAGATATTCTGACAATGAATAGCATCTCAAAATTTGGGTGCCTACTTTACATTCACATATGGTACACAAAAATAACATACGACACATTCGCCCAAGTAACTTAACGATGTGCCTTAGCACGAGCATGAGAGAAACTTCACCAGCCATTTTGGTGCTACCTTCTCTATTCTTTCTTTACCACTGTATTCAATTTCTTTTCCAACTGCAAGACAGAAATGACAACTTCAGACAATCATGTCGTCAACGGTTACATGGAAATTTTAATATAACGTGCAAGCAAAAAGAAGCACCACATTTTCATTTCAATTTTTCAACTACGAACTAAAAATATTCAGATCTTTGAAAGAAAATAAAGGAAAGCATTTTCTAACAATTCTGCTACATACCTGAATATTCTTCATCTTTTGTCTCTGCAACTCCTCCACAAGACTTCCAATGCTGAAAATTGATACAGTTGAACATTACAAAGCAACCAAGTTTAAATACGTCATAGACCTTAACTCTATATCATACCTTTGTTGCATTTGAATGACCATAGATTGCAGTTCTCTCTCCCTAACAGAAGGAGACATCTGCAGAGTGGCAGTGCTGATGTTAGAGGATGCAGGAGGCCATAAATCAAAATACACCACATGTTTTACCTCACACTCATGGATGGGATAGGGCACATCAACCCCCCTACCCCACCTACCCTAGTAATAAAGTTCTAACCCCTTAACCTTCAGTTGGCAAAAAAAGTTAAAACTCAACATAAACCCCACACATCATATCAACGGTCATAGGGATAATTCGTGTCTTCTTTTTTAACAGTCCTAGGGCTCAGTATCTCCACCACACTCCATTTCCCTAGTCTATTCTTCTTATCTCTTATTAATAATTAAAAAGAGTAGTTTTCTAAAATGATGTGCCACCATTTCTAGTAGCTTACTACATAAGGAACAACCAGTTACCTGCGGAAGATCACTGGTCCCAGCTTCAGCCAAGTCTGTAGGGTTGACTGCACCAGATGTAAATAACAAGCTAGTTAAGGGCAACATATAAATACAGCTAAAATCCAACATCGAAAGGAGAAGTAGCTACAATCCACATCCGACAAAGTTATGCACACCCAGTAGTGATGGTCAAAATGTGATGATTAAATGTAAATACACTTACCAGATGCTCGCTCCGCAAACTTGATCAGTTTCACTATTTCCTCCTAACAAGATGCAGAATGGATTAGCAACAGATAACAGAGATGCACACAATTTAATGTAGTAGAAATTACCCTTTGCAAAGTATTCTGTTGTAGAATGCATTGCAATGATGGAAGTAGTGAAGCAACTAGATTGCTTGGACTAGTAGAACCTCCATGACCTGGGTTAAAGAAACAGCTTGTAGGTTCCTGAACAAATGAAAGAAGGCAATGGTTACGAGGCCATCGCCCAAAGAGAGATTGTTGCCTTTGACACTAACCACGAGAACACCAAATAGGGAGGTTTATGCTGAAACTAGGAAAACCCATACACAATGCAACTCATTTGACAAATAGAAAGGAGACAGCAGCTGAAAGCACTAAAAACGAATCACATGATTAATTATTTTGTGCCCATATGTCACAAGAAGCAAAGAACTATGGCCTTACACAAAAATGCTTCACTCCTCTCAATTAAGAGTTATTTCATAGAAAAATTCAGAATCCGACAAAACCATAGAACGGATTTCTCCCACACCAACCTGGAAGGATTTTTCTTTTTTTTGTTGAAATAAGCAAGAGAAAGCATGGTGCAATGTATGTATATTTGGCATTAGCCATTTCGTGTTAATTCACATGTATTAGAGACAGAATCTGGCTGTTGAAGCAAAATCCCCTTCCACAATGCAATATTATAGCTGATCGGACAATCAATACAAGATACTACTAGATGTATACCTTGGGACTCAGATCTGCTGATGTGACTTGAAAACGTCCCTTGCGTTGGACGACAGCTCCTTCTGATGCATCTTCTCCTGCGAAAAGCATATTCAGAGATGAAGAAGAAAGGTGACAGACCAAATTCCTTTATAAAATAAGAACTCATAATAATCTGCAGGAACTTGTGTTTTTATAACATCCCCGTCTGAATACATTGTCGGAGACTGGATTACCTAAGTCTTTCTTATGTCGATACTGCAATGGACCGCTATAGTTTCGTTCGGCCTGGTACTTTGGATGTTGATATTCCCTACATATAGAATGAAACAACATAACGCAGCTTGAACCAACAATTTACTGCTTGAAATATGAAAAATATAGACTCTAAACCATCGCCAATAATTGGACATTATGTAGCCACCTATGCCTCATATTTTCCTAGATAAGGGTCTCCACGTAATCTGAAGATGATGCAGCATCCAACTAATAGTTTATACATGCCGCTAACATCAAAACTCAAACCATGTAGGTCATAAGTGGACCAATTGCAGTCTAGAGAAACTATCATCTCTGACATCAAAATGTAACTAAAAAATGTGCTGGAACATGAAGCACCACACTTCTTAGAAGCAATTAAGTTGACACCACAGAACTAGAACAGTCGAAATATTCAGAACCGTCAAAGCACAAGAATCCCACTACTTCCTCGATTGCAATTATTCAGTAATCATTTTATTTTCAAGTAACTTACATTTACTTCAAGAACAAGAGTCGTTTATCTTGGGATCGCACATTGTGACTACTGACTACTCTTACTTCTTAATTGAGAAAATTTCGTGATCTACCAGCATATAAGTAGTATTACCAGCCTATTATAAGTTTATAATTACCTTCATACATATTGCAACTTCTTTTTCTTTCAGAAAACATTGACCAAGTCTAGCAGTTCAATGGTGAAAACAAATAAATATACATATATATACCTCTCGCCATCAGTAACAACTTTTTTGGGTGAAAGAGCATTATCCTGTAGCAGTGAACCACTAAAAAACTTTTTATGCCCTGGAATAACAGAACGTGGCAAGGAGCTACTCTGTCGCAGATTCTCACCATCATCTTTTCCATTGTCTTGGTCCTCAACTTTTGCCGGTGACAGCATAAGGTTCTGCTGATTAGACTCTGATTGCATAGCATCTTCCCAACTTGGACTACTACCAGTTATGTCATCTTCGCACACATCAAAACACCCCCTGCATCGAGTACAAGATGTACACATTAACTTTCACAGAGTAACATAAAACTAACAAGTCAGCAATGTAATAATTACACTCTTGCTGGACCATTTCAGGCTTAACCGACTTTCCTTTTTCCTTTGATAATCGGTCCTTTAAAAAACTTGTGCTCACTTTCTACTCAGTGAACAGGTAATTTCATTCATCTGTCAATCTGATGTAAGCATGCTTATCACAGGAGCAAGAGCTTGTCGGAAGAGATTCCAGAGAAAATAGAGGTCGGACAACATGGTTTAACTCAATGACAACCAAAAGTTTTATTACCTTTCTTTATCGAACAAAAAAAATTAGAACCAATTCTTTTAACTCTGTGAGATAAGAAAACCTGTCATAGAACGTATGTTATTCAGTAGAGGCATGCATGGCTGTCATGAGCTCCATTTAAGCAGTTGGAATGTGCATTAGAATTCGCAGGACTTTTATGCTAATTCTATACCTCAGATAATTATACACACAGCACTTACCAAGACTCCACGAGCACATCACATTCCTGAATAATTCAGTCTCAGCAAGACAAACATACAAGGCATAAACAGGGTTGTGCTTCCAAAGAATACCGCATTCCAAATGGCAATATATATATATATATATATATATATATATATATATATATATATATATATATATATATATATATATATATATATATATATATATATATATATATATATATATATATATATATATATATATATATATATATATATATATATATATATATATATATATATATATATATATATATATATATGTGTGTGTGTGTGTGTGTGTGTGTGTATACATATCTGTATACACACACATACACATTTGAATGATGAAACCAACCAGCTCTAATTTGGTTGGTATGACGGATTTAATGTCGAGTGCCAACAGAAGTAGCAGAACAAGGAAAAACACAATATTCTTACTTGAGTGCTTGAAGAGGCTTCATAGGAAATGCAGCAAGTGAACTGTCCAAATCATGATCATCATTCAGCTCATCCTGAATGGAGATATCTACAATCATAAATCTGATAATGGAGGACACATTTGAAGATTTTATAAAAATATTCACTCTAAAAGAGATAGCAGACTGGAGGCACTTGAGTATGATAAGAGTTTGAGAAAGTTTAAAAAGAGAATTGTAAATCCGTCGAAAAGAATAGTACACACAGATAGCAACTAGTACTTCAACATGGTTAACATGAATACCTCATGAGAAACACTTGGCTGATTAGGCCTTTCTGCTATAGAACCAATATCACCATTCCCCTCCCGCAGCTTCCCACTAGTACTTGAATCTTCAGCATCTGGAATGTCGTCATAATCCGGAAGCTATGGACAGCAAAAGAAAAGGATGAACAAATTTAACAGACATTGATATGATATTGTTACGTTGTTAGCTAAATAAATGTTTTTATTGAATGGACAATAAGTACATACCAGCGCAGCTTGGCTCTTCAGATCCTCCAGGTTAAAATTCCAGGCACTGATACCACGAATATACTCTTGCTGCATCAGTGAAAGTTCAGAATTACATTAAAATTNTCGTTTTCATTTGACATGCAAAGTTAGCTACTCTAAAAGATTGAAGCGTGTATAAATAAATAAAAAGACTCGAAACAAATGGTTAAAAAACCATAGTGACAAAATGCCTTAATTCCTGCACTACAACACAAAATGATGCTACAGCGATATGTTTGTGAATCGTGAGATTTCTCTAGCACCCTCAGATCTGCAGTTTAGGCCCATTCATTTTTCACCTGTGATAAATGATCCTTGTCCTCATACATTGCCTTGTTCTGTAAGAGATAATCTGCTTCTTTTGCCTGATAGAGCAGTTGAAATTGAAAAATTCAGAATCATAAATTACTTTCGCAGAATTGGGAAATGCCATCAGCTAGAAAAGCAAAGTATAAGATGGGCACAAGACCTTAAGCATCCTAAAACGATCACCTAGAGGTGGGAGGCCATCAAGGATTGAACGTGCCAAATAATCATTTGATCGTGCTTGTTTAAAGAAAGGGTGCTTCAAAAGCTTCTCAGAAGATGGACGCTTCTTTGGATCTTTCACTAAGCAAGCAGCAACCATTTCTTTAAAAGACTGCAAAAGCACCAAAATTCAGACCCAACCTTAATATGAGTGAAAAGTTTTGTCAAACAAACAAACCTTAGAGAATCTCTTGTCCCGTTCATAGTCAAGGCCTGGGGGTGCATTCTGTAAGGTCATCAGCAGAACCTGAATTATGAAGGAAGAAAAGATCACAAAACAACGAATTTCCAGGAAAACATGGAAACACTTCCATGACTATTTTGTATAGCAAAGAACATCCATCAACCTTCATGGGTGGGTACTTGGAGAATGGCGCATGACCATGAGCAAGTTCAAGGGCTGTTATTCCAAACGACCAAATATCTGCTCTGTTAATTCGAAACAACTTTTAGAAGGTACGGGAGGTGACCTAAAACCAACAATAGAACCATGATGCAGATCAGATACTTACTTAAAATCATATCCATGCAGTTGCTGCATCACTTCGGGAGCCATCCTGATTAAGATTTCAAAAACAAAACAAAAAAAAAAGGAATTGCAGTTACAAGTAACAGAGTCTGTGCCTATCCTGATGACACTACCAAATAAAAACCACACCTCACCACAGCCCTGGGAAACTTACCAGCATGGAGTTCCAACAAAAGTATTTCTTGAACGTTGCCTATCACCAGTATCAAACATGCAAGCTGCAACTCCAAAATCTGCCAATTTAACAGCACCATCGGAATCAATCAAAATATTCCCAGCCTGCAGAGAACATATACTAAAATAATGAGTCAAAGCTGAAAATTGGCATAAGCAAGCATGCTGGAGTCGGCAAAACGAGAGTAGCTCAGATGATTTTAGCTAAAAACTATTCCCACATGAAATTAACTTCGCCAATTTGATTAACAGTGAAGGAAGAAAATGCCATTGTCAGGGAAAAAATAATGGAGGAAGAAGAGCAAAGAGAAGAGAAACTTAAGAAATTTGATCAAGACCACATGTTTTTGCATTTGCTGTAGGACAAAATACCGAACTTTGATATTAAAGAGGCTGAAAATCCTAGACGGTCACGTACAAAAAGGAGGCATCACCTCCCCTTTTCTTCAAAAATGGCAAACAATTAGTAAAGAATGCTATGCAACTGCTATGCAACTGTTTCTTTCTTTCTTTTTTTGGATGAAGTAAGAATGCCATGCAACTGTTATTACACAACCAGGTAACACGGTGATACCTTTACATCTCTATGGATGTGTCCATGGTAATGAAGATATACAAGGGCTTTGAGGACCTCACGCAATAATGTGGCAATTACAGGCTCCTCAAAACCATCAGGATAAGAAGATTTCATAATATGAAGGCAAGATCCTCCGGCCATGAATGGCATGACAACCCAAAGGCTGTGACCTGCAGTGAAGGAGCAGTGTGCACGCAATACATTTGCATGATCAATCAAGATCATGGTCTGCACCTCTCTCCGGATTCCATCCTATAACCACAAAAACATTCCGGAAGTCTCAGCAATTGAAATGAGCATATGTTTAGGCCCAAGAATGCTCCTTAAAAGAAATTCTTTCGAAGATGCCATCAATCTACATTATATTAAAAGCACAAAGGCCCTTAGCGAAATGCCGTTCGCCTTTTTTACCCTTGAAAAACTAATTCCAGTTTGGACAAAGTAGTAATTTAAGTTATTTTCCTAATATATAGGTATAGTTATTTAATTGCTTCTCTAATATTTAGTACTTAGAAATTAACTAAATATGCATATTAAATCTTTCCTTATTTGAACTATTATATATGAGAAAATTCTAATATTTAAGGTTTAAATTAATTAAAAATTTACCTATATAAATTTTGTTCCTATTTGAACAAATAGCTAAATTTGGACGTTACCTTCATGAATGTGAATCACATTTTAAGGGGATGCTATTGATTTATGAAACAAAATATAGACCATATTTAGATGTAATTCGAAACCTTAAAACTGTGAAACTAGAACTTTAGGAGACAAATAGGTAGAATTTTTTTTGTTTCTAACAATATTGATTTCATCATATTTTTCTATGTTTCTATCTAGATCTTTCAGCAACCAACTTATAAAAATAATTTTCTGCATTTTTCTTTTGTACTTGGACACTGAAGAATTGATATTTTCTTACGAAACGATTACAAATTTCCTTTAAGACCTACATTCTTTAAAGTTATTGAAATTCAAATTTCCAATGGACTACAACATACGTTGGACATTGAAGTCAATTAAAAGTTTCTCAGAACTATTGGTGCTAAAAAAAGTATATATATATATATTTTATTTTATTTTTAAAATCCCTTGCGGTCGATCTGTTATAAGTTTAATTTTAGTATAGCTTTTACAAAAACAATATCATATATTTTCTGTACTTATAATGTAATATGCACTTATAAATCCATTGTCTTGGCATATACTTTTTTAAAATGATATACGTGAGATGATACGTGCCTTTTTTATCCTTTAAAAATAAATTTTATATATTACAAAAAAAAAATTATACACCGAATTATAATTTAAGGTTTTTTTTAATATTTAGGTCTTTAAAATTAACTAAAATTTTGCTTATTCAAGTGTTCCTTATTTGCATTAATATGTAAGAAGACCTAATATTTATGATTTTAAAATCAATCAAAGTTCATCTTATATAAACTTTTTGCTAGAATTTCAGTACCATAATTTTATTCTTTCTAGGACAGCCAAAGAACTTACTAAAAATTGGTATTTTTAAGTTTAATAAATTGTTACTTCCATGCTACTTTGTAATTTATTTAGGTTTAGACGTTTAGTTTGTTTTGTGTATATTTAGGGCATTGCACGTTATACGTGGCAAAATAACATTACGCTTAAAATTGCAAGAGCTACTAAATAATTTAATTTTATTAAAAAAAACACCTTAACATACTCAAAATACATCAAGCAGACATATATTCTCAGAAGAATGTATATTAGGTTTAAAATTTTTCCTAATAGAAAATATTACTTCTTCTATGTTTGAATATTCTTTTTCATAGAATTACAACCAATTAATTTTATATAATTTTATTATCTTAATAAAAACAAAAAATATAGTGCAACACCAATTGAAAATTATAACTAAAATCGATAATGTCGGTTGGCACTCTTTTGATGTTCCTTATTCTTAATTATGGATTTACAGACGGCCATAGAATTAAAATAAATTAATTCTATATAATTGATTATCTTAGTAAAAATAAAAATTAAAAATAGATTTTTTTTTTGTAGCAACTTGTTTGCCATATTTTTTGTGGAGTTCAACTATTGTTTTCTCGATCAATGCATCTCATATTCTTATTACTTTACTGATTTATTTTTTTATTAATTAAAAGTTTAATAATATATATAAAGAAAAATATTATTATTTTCCTTCATAATTACACTTAAATATTTTAAAATTGGGATGAGCTAATATAAGAATCTGAAAAAGGTAAAGAATTATTCCTTTACTGTTAAAAACAAATATAGTTACTTTTTTAATTAACTGATTAGCAAAAGAATTCAATTCAATTGAACTACATATTAAGGCCTAATATTTAGGAGTTTAAAATTATTCAAGATTAAAAAAGTACATTATGATATTTCCATAAATGCGATAATAATTTATTTACATATGACTTTCTAGATATATTCC